GGACAAGGGCAGGCATTTGCACAGCAGGCACATGTCACACAATATTTATAAAATAGAGAACAGCTCATCTTAGTAAGTTATGGGTTGCAGTTGTTTTTTAAACCTTGTTTTCTTTAAAACAAGTAATTGTTGAGGTGAAATTTGCATAACCAAAGTTATGCAAAAGAAAGTGAACCACCCAGCAGCATTTACACACCTAAATGGTGTGATCACCACCCCATTTACTCTTAGTTAGAATCAGCTTCCTGACTGATCATGTATGTCATTCATTCAATCAGTATTTAGTCTTGGACTTCGTTATTTTTTTCTTCTTATATCTTACCAATCCACTGCATTTGCACCTGGTCACATTTCTTTGCATGGCTTTAGCTCTATTTACTGCAAGATGCACTGTGTGAAATTTCATATAGAAATGTCTATGGCCAAAGTGAGGAACTGAAAAGAAATCCATTTGGAACTGATCTAGAAAGACACCGCTTGTTTACAGAAAGAATAGATGAATGGAATATCATCGTAGGATCTTAAAGGAGCACTCTTATAGCAGAGGGGGAGCCTTAAAATACATATATATACACCTTTAAAAAATATTTTTTTATTAATATTATTATTTTTCTGGCTACAGGCATTTCTCCAAACATATGCTGACCTTCTCCTTGAGGTCTCCTGAAGACATTCTGAAAGATATCTATATTGTAGTATTAAAACTGGATCATTCAGTCTCTTTCTCTTTGATTAAATGTTCTCTTACTATCTCACCTTAGGTAAATATAGCAAAGCCCTGGTTCACCTCAGGCACGAGCTACCCAGTTACGGAGAAGTTACAGGAAGTGAGATGCCTCCCGCTCACTGAATCAGCATTTCAAGGCCCTCCTCACTCCTGATGACCTTGACAAGTTCCAGGGTCAGGATCTTCTGGAGAGCAGCTGGCTGGAGGCGCCAGCTGGCAGAGCGACTTCTCCGCACAAGCTCAGTCCAGGTGAGGTGGCCATGGGTCTGATGACACACAGCTCTAGGCTTGCGGAAGTCCCCAGACCTCCACACTTCCACAATGACCATCGATGATAGTGCATCTTCCTCGTAAACATCTGTGGCTGTGCCATGACCAGGACTTCCTGCAAAAACAGAGATGGAAACCCATGGGGTTGAGGTCACAGTATTGCAAAGGCCCTCCTTTCTTGATGGAATATGGCCTTGAGTAAAAGCGTGCAGCATTTTGCCTCAGTTTTAAAGGACAGGAAGAGGCTGTGACAGGAGGTAGCTTGTTAGAGTGGGAAAAGAGCCCGCCTAAGAGGCAAGGTTCTCGCCTCATCTTCAATGACGTCCTTAGCAACTGTGGTCAACTGGATTAATTTATCCCTTCCTGGGTTTCTGTCTCTAAATCTGTAAAGGCAAACAAATTGTCTCTGGCATTCAAAATGTGGAACACTTGGGATGACTATATTGCACAGTGAGATAAAGCCCTTTGCTGTGTGTGCTGTTGGAGAAGGTGATTGAAGTGCTGGCATTTGGTGGTAGGAAGTGGTTGAGGCTGAGACTTTCTGCATGGAGACAGTGTCTCTGGATAACGGTATAAGCCACTTGGGGGCCTATGAAGTCCCTGATGTATGGAGTATTGTGACAAGGCTGTTTATACTGTTCTAAGAGAGAGATACAGGGTTCCAGTCATGAGCTATGACAGGACATGAGCCTGTGCCTGGGAATCAGATCTGTGGCAGGATTGGGGAGACAGCTGCTGAAGTTCAGAGAGAGGCTGGACAAGCCTTGCAGTGATATGAGGAAAAGTCTTTTTTCAATATTTGGCCACATCTTGATGGTGACTCTGCAGATCAGGAATGCATTGCCTCATGGATTAGGAAACCATTCCAGGGTACATTTCCGAGCAAAGATAAAACATGAGAGATCTTGCATAATCTGGTCTCATACATATAGATGTTTGTGTCTCCGTGCACATAGGGCTCACTGTACTTGCATAGGTGAAGTAGGAAATATCTGAATGGACACTTCTGTATTTGCAGAGAATGATGAAGATGAGGATGAAGACAGAAAGATGAGGAGATTGAGAAAGTACAGGAATCACCTGCCCCCAGGTAACACTGAATAATCAGGAGCAGGTAATGGGTGGTAAAATATGAAAAGGGTCTGTGAAAGAACACAAGGCAGGTGAAGGTAGTAGACAGATTCCAGATGCAGATAGGAAAGCTGCAGAGTCCACTGATTTCATGCACTCACCCAGCAAGGAAATAGCCCTGTTAACATGCTTGTCCATTGTCTTCATGGTACCTGCAAGCATGACTCTAGATGAACCTACAGCCCAAGGGTCTTCCTGCACACATACAGAGGGGACCTGTTCTCCCTGCAGTGAAAGCCAGAGAAGATGCAAAGCTGCTTCTACACGGTTGTCTTTATGTTCTTTTAAGAAAAGATAAATAGCAGAGAGGCACAACAGAGGAATTCAGGAAGTACCTAGCAAAAAGGAATGGCCAAAGAAAAGTACCTAGACAAAGAATTTATATTTCATGTCACAATATTAAAATAAAAATAAATTTAGAAGGCACACCACCTCTGGAGTCTGGCAATGGCTCAAAGGCCTGTATTCCTGTGGCTACAGTATGTTAACTACAACCCAGCTTAGACACACCATGTGGCAGCTGTTTTCTGTCTCTGTGTGTGCTCTCAAGACTGTACCACAGAGACTTCTGAGTCTCCATCCTCAGCTCCTACCTACCCAGTGCAATGATCACCAGCCACTGTTTCCTCTCTGGTTTTCTCTGCTCTGTTGCAGAGAGGAGAGGATTGTCTGTTCTTTTTTGAGACGGAGTCTCACCAGTCTCCCAGGCTGGAGTACAGTGGTGTGATCACGGCTCACTGCGAGCCGCCTCCGGTTCACGCCATTCTCCTGCCTCAGCCTCCTGAGTAGCTGGGATCACAGGCGCCACCACCGCGCCCGGCTGTATTTTGTGATTTTTAGTAGAGACGGGGTTCTCCACTGTGGGTCTCAATCTGCTGACCTTGTGATCCGCCCCGGCCTTGGCCTCCCAAAGTACTGTTGGGATTACAGGCGTGAGCCACCGCACCCAGCCTGTCTGTTCCTTCTTAAAGGGAAACTCCCCTTGCTTTCTGAGACTACTCTCTTATGCCTCCTGTCAAAACCAGTGCAGGACTTCCTGTCCAATGCTCTTGGTTTAATCTTCTGTCATTTCTATCCCACTGGGCTCATCAGGGAGGTGCAGATGGCTGAAGGAAAGGAAGTCCCTCAGGACTCACTGAAGGAACGCGGCAGTCACTTGTTCAAATACTCACGACCTTAATTCGACTCACCAGCCTGGCAGGAGCACCAAAATCACATCTGAGGAAGACAAAGTCACTTGCTCTGGTTGTAGAGAATGAACCTCTCATGATGAAGGAGGAAGTTTCCAAACATTCTCCCAGGTAGCCTCTATTCTTTGTCCTCCTGCCTTCAGGCTGAGGAAGACTGCTCTGGAGGACAGGCTGCATACATACATATTGGTTTGATTTATACTAAGACACAGCTGGGTGCAGTGGCTCATACCTGTAATCCCAGCACTTTGCGAGGTTTAGGTATTACTGTGGTTCAGGAGTTCGAAGACCAGCTTGGGAAAATGTGGTGAAACCAATCTTTACACAGAATATGAAAAAAATTAGCCAGACATGGTGTGCGCACTGTCATCGCAAACTACCTGGGCGGCTGATGGGAGCTATCTGACTCAGGAGGCAGAGACTGCAGTGAGTCATAATTGTACCACTGCACTCCAGCCTGAGTGACAGACAGAGATTCTGTCTCAAAAAAAAAAAAAAAAGAAAAAGAAATACAGAGAGCGAGAAACAGAGAGAGAGAGAGAGAGAAAGAAAGAAAAGAAAGAAAGAAAGAGAGAGAGAGAGAGAGAGAAAGAGAAAGAAAGAAAGAAAGAAAGAGAGAGAGAGAGAGAGAGAGAGAGAGAGAAAGAAAGAAAGAAAGAAAGAAAGAAAGAAAGAAAGAAAGAAAGAAAGAAAGAAAGAAAGAAAGAAAGAAAGAAAGAAAGAGAAAAAAGGAGAGAAGGAGAGAAAGGAAGGGAAGGGAGAGAAAAGAAAAGAAACTATGTGGGAATATTGCACACAGTTATCCGAGGGTCAGAGACCTTTCCTCTCCTCCTTGTCCCATGGCATCACTTTGTCTTCCTGGCCCCAATGTCAGCATATTGGACCACAGGCAGGTGTGACAGTCATAGCCACCTGTGTACAGGAGGTCGCTGTCAGGCCTCCTGGCTCAGTTCCTATATCTCTTGTCACATGCAATAATGATCTGTGTCCCTGAACAATGTTCATGGAGTTTCTATGCCTGTCACAGGCCGCTGACAGTCTTGCCTGTGTATTTGGAGAAGTTGTTTCTCTGGATTCACTGTTCTCAGTCCCAGGCTTGGTCTCCTTTAAATCAGATTGTCCCAGCTAAGCAGCCACCTTGAAAGCAGGACATAAACACTTCTACCTTTATCTTGCTTGTAGTTTCCCTAAACAAGGCTGGGCTCTGAGTTCTTCACACCATGAGTGGCCAATGTTTCTGTGTAGCACCACAGATCCATTTTTATGCAGGGGTTGTTAGTATTTATCCATCAGTTCAGTCTCCTATATAAATTTCTCTAACCATTCATTGACCATGATATATGATGAGATAAATCGGTATTGCAACAACACTTCTGGAGAGTAGTTAGGGCAATTCTTGAATTCTTGTGAGAAAAGTTTTCTTTAACTGTTGGCACAGACTTAGGTCTGAGGACAGGTGATTATTATCTACCAGATGAGGGAGATTTTGTTCCATGGGCCTGGAAAGGAGGCTCATCTACTTCAGACAAGACTTAATTTACGGTGCCTTAGAACCTTCCTGTCAAAATGTCACATTCTTACAATGAAGATATTTGTGTCTTGCGCCATGACTGGGCACTGATTTCGGCTTGTGTGAAGTGTGATTTCCTTACTGTGACCTGCTCTTCTGAATTTGTTTACAGAAAATCAAAATGATCGTGAGGAAGAACAGGGGAATGTGCCAGTGCCCCCCAGGTAACTGTGGATTTGTGGGCTGTTAGTTCAGTAGTGACACCTGGACACCACGGATCCAGGGAAAATAGGAAGTGACGAATAGAATTGTCTCATCCATTCATCCAACTGCAAATTACCCCCTTAACAATGTTGTCTTCTTTATTGTGGTACTTGAATAGCTTTCATTTCTTAATCCCGCTCAAGCATAGGAACAGACAACCAGTTGAGGCACGTGAACTGACTAAACTCAGGGATTTCCTGATCTCACCTGTGGTCTCCCATGTGGTTAATCCAGAGTGAGATGCATATCTGCTTTCTCTCTGTTTTGTGTCAGCATGTTGGCAACTACTTAGTTGCAAGAGAGAAATTAAAAATAAAAATTTCGTATGATGTCAAAATTTGAAAAAGGGGGACCTTAAAAACACAGCATCTGTGTGTCTGGAATGCCTTAAGAGCTCTGGTCACTTAGATGCTGCATGTAAATGTCAACGCGATTTGTGTGAAAGAAGTGAAGGCCTGTGTTAGTTCTCTCTGCTGCAGGTCATGCTGCTAGTTTACAGGGAGAGTCTGGGTCTCCTGCAGCAGCTCCTTTGTGGCAAGTGCCCTGAGCACCTGCTGCTGGTATTTGCTCTGTCCCCAGGGCAGTCACATCCACCCCACATTTAGAAGGATGACTTTTCTCTCTTGGATAGGCTCCCCCTTCACTTTCTCTGACCACTCCCTTTGTGTCCCATCAAATCACCTGAGATGCTGTGGTGTTGAGTCTGTCTTGATCTAATCCGCTGTCATTCCTATCCTACCCGGCTCATCAGGAGGGTGCAGGAGTCTGAGGAGAAGGGAGTCCTACAGGACTTACTAGAGGAATGTGGTTTTTCTCATTCTAGACACCATGATATATCCAACTCTTACCTGCATCATGAAGTCACTTTCTTGGCACTGGATGAAGAGAAAGTTTGCTCTGCTCAGGATGTTGCCAGGGATTACTCCAATTCCAAATGGGATGAAGCCCCACTTGGCTTCCTAGGTAGGCTCCCTATTCTTTCCACCACACAATCTGTCCATAATGACAGATGTCATACCTTCAGGAAGACACTATGCTTACACACTGGTAGAACCAGGCTCTAGAATTGAGTTTGAAGAAAGGCATCCTAGGAGTCAGTGTTTTGCTCCATCCTCCTCCAAAACCACACATTGTCTTTCATCTTTGCCCCATTGTCAAATCACTGTACCCAAGGTTGACCTGACAAATTCATACCCGCCTCTGCAGCCTGGGTGCAAGATGTATCCACCAGTCCTCCTGATTTAGATTTCATCTGTCACCTCACATGAAATCTTCTAATTTTCCTTCTCAAACAACCTGAGTTTTTCTGCCTGTCCAAGGCCACTGGCAGCCTTATCTATATCCTTGGAGCTGTCATTATCCTCGTTCACTTCTCTCAGGCTAGACTCCCTCCCCTTTTAGCAGGCTTGTCTTAGCTAAGAAGTCTCTGAGTACCAGAACATAACACCACTATTAGATTTTGTATGTTTCTGAAAGGAGGCTGGGCCCTGGAACTCCCTGCCACATGAAAGGCCTATGTTTCCATGTAGCATTAGAGATAAATCATTTGATTTAATCTGTCCCTCTAAATGTACATTCTACAAAAACATCAAAAATAGGTTATCAGAAGGAAACATGCTGAATACTGCAGTAACCTGATAGGAAACATTTAAGTAGATCTCCAGGATCTGTTAGTAAATAGAATATGGTTAACATTTTGCTGTGACTCAGGACAGAAGGGACTGTGATGATGACCTGTCGTATCAGGGAGATTTGCTCCATGGCTCAGGAAAGCAAACCTAGTGACTTCTCACAAGGCTCACCCTGAGGCCTCCTGGAAAGTTTCTCTCACAATAGCCTGTTATCACACCGAGTATATTTATGCCCCTACGTAGATTTGGACACAAGGTTGTGAATGTATAAATGTGATCAAGTTCATGTGACTGGTCTTCTCTTAATTTACTTGCAGAAAAGCAAAATAATCTTGAAGAGGTGAAAGGAAAAGAAACAGTTGATCCCAGGTAATTAAAGAAATTCAGGGGCTGTCTATTCAGGGTGACACCTGTGGAACTCATATCCACAGAAAACCAGAAAGTCCTGAATATACCTAATTCATCCCTTCAGCCAAGCAGAAATGATCCTTTCTAACCATGTTTTACATTTTCATTGTGATCCTTGAATTGTTAGCCATTTCGTGTTAAATTCTCAGGTTCAGTACATAAAACCAGTTGATCTTGTGAAAAACTAATCAGTCCCAGCGATATCCTTAAAGCAGCGATCCTCTTATGTTTTCAACCAGCCTGAGATGCATATCTGCTTTCTGCTAGTTTTGCATTAACACAATGCTAAGCATTTCTAGGCAAGGAAATTGGGTAGAAAAAAATTATTTACCACACATAATAATGAGAGAAGAAGGACTTCATGGCATGAGAGTTTGGGGATATTATTATGCCTCAAATGCTATGTTTACTTGGCCCCTACACATAAAATTTAGTATCATTTTAAAAAAAGGAATGAAGCCACCGTTATGGAACAGGATATTCAGTAAGTCACAACTGTACCATACAGAGAGACTCAGTCTCCTTCCTCAGAAAATCGTGATCTGGCCACTTTGCTGAGCTCCTGATGCTTCTCTCTCTCATCTCTCTTTCCCTCTCTCTGTATTGCAACCTACCCCATGGCAACCACACTGTGACCCACCGAGAAGAGAAGAATATTGAACTCTTTAATGGGCTGACCCATTTGATTTCTGCCATCACTCCCTCCTGCCTCACGTGAAATCCAGCAGGGCTCTGAAACTCCTTGGATTAATCCTTACTCCTTCCTACCTTACAGGCTCAGCAGGGAACCGCTGAGGGGGGACAAGCGTGAAGTCCCCCAGGAGTCACTGGATGGATGTTGCTTGACTCCTTCCATCCTTCCTGACCTACCTCACTCCTACCACCCTTATGGGAGCACTTCGTACTGTTTTGAAGAAAAGCAAGTCAGCTTGGCTCTTGTAGACAGTGAGTACTCCATTGTGACCACAATAAATCTCCAATTGGTGTCCCAGGTGACTCCGTAATCCTTGCACCCCTGGCGGGACAGAGACGTGTCATTGGTGTGGGCATGACTCAGAGACACAGGATGATTTGCATCAGAATCGAAAATCAACTTGGAAGCACAGACATGGGGTGGGTCAGTGAGCTCTGCTCTCCTCCTCATCTCAGACCAGGCCTGTGTCACCCTGGGCCACCGTCACGACATTGACAAATTCAAACCAACCTACACAGCACGTGCCCAACAGGTGTCGGTCAGGCCTCTTAATCTGAATAAGATTTGTCTTGCCACCTATTGTGTTCCTTGCAAGTTCCTTTCTGTAACCATGTCCTTTGAGATTCTATGCCTGCCCAAGGCCTGTGGCATCTTAGTCTACTTTTCCTTAAAGATATTACCCAGGTTTCAAAGAACCTAGCCTCATTATCTGTGTCTCTGATGTTAGCCTGTTTTAGGTGAGCAGTACATTTGCTTTTGTTATGTGTCTAGAAACAAGACTGGGCCTTGTCACTCCTAGGTGTCACGAACAACCAATGTCACTTTGTAGTACCAAAGATTCATTTTGATTCGAGGGTCTGTATGTTCTCTCCTTCATTCTAATTTCAGTGTCTAAAATCCTTGCAACCTTGAACAGTGTGGGTATTTGATGATTGAAGGCTGAATAGTGCAGTTTTCCTTCTAGAAAGCCCTTGAAGTGTTTGCCTTGAATTGGTGTGAAAAATTTGCCTAGCTATTTGCACAAAATCAGGACTGTTGATGTTGTGATAACGATCTATAAGAACAGGGAGATTTCATTCCTAGGCTCAGGGAAGAAAACCAAGGCATCTCTCTCTTGACAGGACCTCAGGCCTCCTGGAATATTTCTCTCACATTGTCCTGTTCTCCCACTGAGGAAACTGATGTTCCTATGTTAGGACTGTACAGTGGATTGTCTGTGTGTGTAGGAGAACCTGCTTAATGTGTTTGTCTCTGTCTGAATTTATTTGCAGAAATTGAAAAGGATCAAGAGGAGGTAGAAGATCAAGACCCGCCATGCCCCAGGTAACTCTGAGGAATCATGGACAGTTAATTCAGTGTTGATATGAGGAGTCTCAGATGCAGGGAAAATCAGAGTGTGCAGAATATACCTGCTCCATCTGTTCAGCCAACCATGAAATAGCCATATTGATAAGGTTGACTCTTTTCATTGTACACCTGTATTTGTATTTCTTCCTTATTAATTCATTTGAATTCTACTAATCTGAATTCAGTTAACTCTGTTGAACTGATCAGTCACAGACATTTTCTGCAGTCCCCTTTTCTGTCCTTTTTGCTTAAGTGAACTTGAGCTGCACATCTGATGTCTGCCTCATTGGCATTACCATGTTTGCAAGTATTTGACAGCAGAAAAGTGAATGAAAATAACTCTGTCATGCTACAATGTTGAGAGCAAGAGATGTTGAGGATACAGGAACTCTGTCTGGGAAGCCTCAAGAGCCTGTATTAATTTGGCTACTGATAGTAATTTCAACAAAATGTATGCAAAAGTGCCCAATGCATTGTGTACTGGCAGTTTCCCACAGGGATCACTCCATCTCTTTCCTCCCCAGCTCATTGCCTGCCCAGTGCACTGAGAGCCTGTCACACTCTGTTTCCTGCTAAAGACAGGGAAGGATGGTTGTATCTCCCTGAGGGGACTGTACTTTGTTTCCTCTGGGCTTTCCTGAGGGCCTCCCTACAGAACCAGCTGGGCGCAGTGGTGTTCGTTCTCTCTGTTGTTTATCTTCTGTCATCTTTATCCCAGGTTGATCCAGGAGCTACCAGAGGTGAAGGAGCAGGAAATCCCAGAGGACTCCGTGGATGAAGTTTCCTTGACTCCTTTAGTTCATCGTGACCTATCTGACTGCCACCAGCCTTATAGCAGCACCTTGTCCTCATTGGAGGATCAACTTGCCTGCTCTGCTCTGGATATAGCCTGAGTACCCCAGCCTGGAGGTCACAAAGCTCCACTGTCCTCCCAGGGAGCCTCTGTATGTTTTGTTTCTGCAACTCGTGCAGCTGAGACAGACCACCTCCGCAGGCAGGCCCTAGACACTGAGCCTGTTTTGAATTTGGCTCTTGGATGCAGTTTTCAGCACAGACATGCACTGGGTAGAACTTCCTCTTCTCCTGTCCCAAGTGCCTCCTCTGTCACCTGGCTCCTTCTCACAAGAGCAGGCTGTGACTGTCAAAACAGGCCAGAAAGGGGTGTGGTGAGGGCTTATGGCAAATTCTTGGCCACAGTATATTTATATAACAGACCCCCTTCTTTAAGATACGGCATCTCTGTTTTCTGAAATTATGTTGCAAACTACATGTCCTTATCTCTTCTCTGGCCATCCATCCATGCTGGGAGTTTTTCCCGATCATTTGGAGGCCTGTTTCATGATTCCTGTGTCCCAGGCTAGATTTTCTTCTTCAGGGATCCCCAGCCATAGGGCCATGGGCCGTTACGGGTCCACGACCTGTTAGGAACTGGCCCACAGAGCAGGAGGTGAGCGGAGGGAGAGCTTTTCAGCCTGGATTCCACCTCCTGTCAGGTCAGCAAGGGCATCAGATTCTCACAGGAGCTCGAATCCTATTGTGAAGTGCACATGCCAGGAATCTAGATGGTGCTTTCCTTATGAGAATCTAATGCCTGTTGATTTGTCACTGGCTCCCAGTGACTGTCACCCCCAGATGAGACCATCTAGTTGCAGGAAAACGAGCTTAGGGTTCCCACTGATACTACATTATGGTGAGTTGTATAATTGTTTCATTATATATTACAATGTAATATTTATAGAAATAAAGTGCACAGTAAATGTAATGTGCCTGAAACATCCCAAAACCATCCCCCCAACCTAGTCCCTGAAAAACTGTCTTCCATGAAACCAGACCCTGGTGCCAAAAAGGTTGGGGACTGCGGCTCTACTTCCTCTGAGGGGTCTTCCCTCCACTGACGCAGTCCAGCGTCCCTTCCTTTATGCGTGGCCAGGCTTGCATCCTCTGCAGAGCTCCAGTGGTTTTATCCACGTGTGGGTTTTAGTTTCAATCACGTTTTGGTCTCAGTGCTATATTCTCATGAAAACCATCCACAACTAGTGTCCCTCATGACGTTCTGGCGTAACCGATGAGCAAAGCAGAGTGGTTCCTGTCCCCACGACGTCCAGAAAACCCTTCCTCTGAGCAAGTGTCCCTTGAGATAGCAGCTTCACAGGACGTGTAAAAACAAAATCCAGTTTTCATTTCTTCTTGCTCATTCTCTCTCTTTTTTTTAACTTCTATTCTGGGAATTTCATGTAGATTTTGGGGGGTTTTACCCATTACATTGTCTTCTTGTAAGAGCAAGTAACTCTGTGCTGTCCCTCAGTATATTGAATTATGTTGTAATGAAATTAACAAAAATGCCAGGTGTAGTGATTCACGCCTGTAATTCCAGCACTTTGGGAGACCAAGGAGATGGATCTCCTGAGCTCAGGAGCTGAAACCAGCATGGGTAACATGGTGAAACCCTGTCTCTACAAAAAAAATTAGCGGGGCATGGTGGTACACACCTGTAGTCCCAGCTTCTCGGGAGGCTGAGATGGAAGGATCACCTGAGCCTGGTTAGTTGAGGCTGCAGTGAGCCACGATTTCACCACTGCACTCCAGCCTGAGCAACAAAGTGAGACCCTGTGTCACTCTCTCTCACACACACACACACAGAAAGAAACTAGCAACAAAAATGTTGGCCTCTATTCTATTTTGGTCAGTAAGTGCCTTTCATACTGGGACCATCCCCTTTCCCATTTTGCATTTCTCCCTCAGTTTCAAAAAAGCAAATACTTTTCTAGGATCACAGTGATTCATGAAACAATTAAAATACACACTGACCTTGCACCTGCTGTATGTCCTGCCCCTTTGCAAGCAAGCTCTGTCCTGCTATAACCCATTCAGGGCTCAAGGGACACTTGCAAGTGGGCAGCGGCATCTCCATGTTGGAGCTGAGGTCACTGAGGCATTTTTAAGAAAACAGAAAACCTTGCAGAGAATGAGGATGTGGAGAGGGGAGGAGAGAGAGGACCCCACAGCAATGTGGATCCAGCCCTGCAGGCCCCATATGTATCCTGAGCCCAACCTGGACTGGCGTAATGTTATTGGAAGTCTTTTCTTAGTCCACTCAGAATGTGTGTTCCTCTCCCTGGGGAAATGGAAAGAATCTGTTTAAGGGGTGCCACCCAAACCCCACTGGAGGAGTGGGTAATGTGAGGATCGTGTCCTCTGTTGCCTTCCTAAGGAACTGCACGTGCTGATCTGTGGCTCTTGTGGCCCCTGAATTTCTGGGAAGGGACTGGTCCCTCTCCTACATTGCCTCTGTCTGCTGACACCCACTATATGGCAATAGGATGGATATGTGTGGGTAGAGTGTCCAACCATTATGGGCAATGGGAAATTCAAAATGCTCTAGAACCCAGAAATTTTGCCTCACTTAGTGTTTGGTCTGTGGCCTCCCAGCCCCCTTTCTCGTGGTTCTTTCTCAAAGCCTCGCAGCTCTAACTCTTGGCCTGTTCTTACAACCCTGTGTGGGGAGAAAAACAACTCCGCCTCTCTTGTGAGCTGAGGGCTCTCTAGAACTTTCCCTCTAGGCACAGGAAGGAGATGAATAATAACCGAATAATCGGGATGTTCTTGTTAGATGATCCAAAGCCCTCTGGGCTGCAGCAGAGCTTTTTCCTTCAGGGACACCCCAGCCTGGGGCCCTGCCCTGTCAGCGTCCCCAGGCACAGACAGGAAAGGTGACGTGGCCTGCATTCAGGCACAGACAGGAAAGGTGATGTCACCTGCATTCACATGAGGTCTGTCTGTGTGGTGTGGGTCACTGGATGGCTTTACTGAGAGCAGGGACATTAGGGATGGGTGTTCTGGGTGTCTTAACAAAGGGAAAACTCAGGTTGTTCTTACTGAAGCCGCTTCTCCTTTCAGCTCCCACCAAGACAGCCTGTCCCCGAGGGACTTGGAGTGCAGACATGAGCCACCACCTGTCAGAGGTGCAGGCTTCACAGGCACAGCTGGAGCCAAGGACCCTGGTGCCCAAATGTCTGCGAATACAGCTGGATCAAGGGAATGGCTTGGCCAGGCAGGGCCTTTCCTCTACCACTTGCAGCTTCTCAGCCAATGCTGATTCTGGGGACCAATGGCCCTTCCAAGGTAAGGAAGGAAACGGCGTCATGAAGCTGTAATCCAGGTGTTGGTGGTCACGGTGCTGTGGGTGCAGGAGAGAATGGGACCACTCTGTGCTTCCTCAGGGTCAAGTTGAAATTCATGATGCTCCAACCCAGTGAGGTTAGCAAAGTCCTGGAGCTTAGAACCAAATCTGCTGTCAGGTCCGGGGTTTGCCACTTTCTGCTTGTTGACTTTAGCCTAGGTTTTTGTCTTTTTGCTATTTACATCTCTGTTCCTTCAACTGAGATACCTGAAAAATAATATCTACCTGCAATGGGAATATTATTGTAATTTCTAAACAGTCTGATTCCATAAGAATTGCTCTATAAACCTATGAGTAGGTGTTATCTAATCCTTTTCTCTTTCTGCTCAATTTGCACTTAGAAAGTGACTTCACGGATGATGTCTCCTGTGAGGTAGAGCAGTTATGAAGATCTCTGCTTTCTAGGGCCCCTCTTCCTCTCCTTTCTCACACAGACTCCTCTGCCAGTTTTCTTCCTCTCCTTCCCCATCCCTCATGAAGTCAATTTTCCCCTATCAGGCACTTTCAGTAACAACCTATGAGGCACATTGAGTAACAGTGTAAATCCTGGGCCCACACTCACTCTCCTGACATGTTCAGCTTCCTCTGCTTTTTTTCCTGCTTTTTTTTTGAAATAAAAGGGCAACTTTCACATGGAAAGTGTTCACATTAGTGTCTTTTATGAAATTCCATTTAGTTCAAATTCTCCACTCATGTCCACGGCCATGTCCTCAGTTCCTGTCTCACAGGGATCCACTTCTGCTCAGATTTCCTTAAAACCTGGGTCGTGTTCATTCTCACTCTCCGCCCCACTCAGTATCTCCTCCTGGAGCCCCTGGGGCTACCTGGTGCTCATCTGTCAGGCAATGCCCTCGGCTGAGGAATGAGGGGACCCCTGTCCTCAAGAGGAGGGAGGGTTGGGTGAGATAACGAGCACCATCTGGGTCCGAGGAGAGGACACATGGAAGGCGCTCAAGGAGTGTCGGGGGATACGCAGTCCCCGACACGTCCCGGGATTACTTATTTAAACTGATTTCTTCCCACTGGACTCTCCTTTGCTTCTCTATGGATTCTCACACCCCCAGCCAAGATTCACCCCACTGGCTCAGACACACTCCCTCTTGCTCACTTTCCCTGGAGTCCAGAGCCTGAACCAGGCACCAAGTAAGAGGACACAGTGAATGTCTTTTGTTTCATTAATATTTTCCTTCACCTGGTGATTTCTCCCCGCTGTCTACCAGGTCATTTGTTTCTCCCACACCTTTTCTTTCTCATTCTTCTCATGTCTCTAATTTTTTTTCCCCATTTCACTGGACCAGAATAGTGATGATACTGTTACATTCAATCTCTCCCAAATCCCTATATAATGTTTTTCCTTTAAAATAACATGTACAGGCCAGGCGTGGTGGCTCATGCCTGTAATCCCAGCACTTTGGGAGGCCGAGGCGGGCAGATCACGAGGTCAGGAGATCCAGACCATCCTGGCAAACACTGTGAAACCCTGTTTCTACAAAAAATACAAAAAAAAAAAAAAATTAACCCGGCGTAGTGGCGGGTGCCTATAGTCCCAGCTTCTCGGGAGGCTGAGGCAGGAGAATGGCATGACCCGGGAGGCAGAGAAGCTTGCAGTGAGCAGAGATCACGCCACTGCACTGCAGTCTGGGTGACAGAGCAAGACTCCATCTCAAAAAAAAAATTTTTTTAATTAAAAAATAAAATAACATGTACAGATATATGCATTTATATCATTTGTCCTATTATGTGTGACTATGTATATCTGGTATATATACTACATAGGGTGTATATATATGCAGTAGATCATATAATGATGCAACTTTTATAAATTCTCTAGGTTTAGTCTTCCTAATTCTTTCCTCTCATCAGCTGCTGTCACGTCTGTCGGGTCTCACCTCTGTGCCACATGGGCTGCCACCCTGCCAGGCCCTTTCATTCCCATCTCCTGTTTGAACCTAGCTCTGATTTAACCTTGATTTTTGTAATCTCTGCTCTCCCCAAAGCATAGCCTACATAGAGTATTATTTCCTTGGCTTTATGTTATCTACCTGGAAGCTATTTGTGTTTCTTAATCCTGTGTTTCTTGAGTATTGATGAGAATTGGCAGTGCCTTTGGCTCCAGGCAATCTTGTCATTACTGAGTAATGTAGGAAAGATCAACAAAAAAGAAAATTTTATAGTGACTCTATTGGCTTCCCCTTACCCGTTGGACGTTCTTGTCCAAGACCCCCTTCTTGATTTGATGTCCTCTGGGTGGAAGAGAAAGTCACAATTAGGTCATGGATGCCAGTGAATCCCACTGACTGTGTTTTTATTTTCAGAGCTGGTTTTAGAGCCCTCCCTGGGGATGAAGAACCCTCCCCAGCTGGAATGATGATGCACTTAAAGGCTCAGCAGACAACACACAAGGGCATCAAGTCATTGGCCAGATTCACGCCTCCCGTGTCCTCAAACTGAAGATCATCAAAAGAAAATTCTCATTCAGCAAGTGGAGACTGGCATGCAGATTCCCTGGCCTGCAAGCTTAGAGTGCAGAGGTAATCACATCTATGGCTGATAGCTGCACTCCTTATTTCTCTGTCTATTATTGACAGCTCATTCTCCTACTGCTTTTTCTCTTCCATTTGTTCTAACAGCTGCTGTAACCTCTGTCTGGTGTTAACTCTGTGTCCCATGGGCTCCCACCCTGACAGGCCCTTTCTGTCCCCATGTCCTCTTTGCTCTCTGAACTCTGCTCTATTCCTTCTCCTAGTGTCTTGACAGCCCCTCTCATGGCCACAGGAGAGCCCGGCCTCCTTGTTCTCATCCAAGTGCATAGTTTAAGCTGCTGAACACAGGAATATTTGCCTGGAATCACACACTCTCTTGGGAAATTTAACTTTCCTCTCTGCACTCCGAACTCCATTGCCTCTTTCTGCAGAAATCATTGCTTTAATACATCATTTACACATCGATTTTCCTCTTGAGTCTTCTTCTGAGCAACCCAACTGAGTCAACTCTTAATCATCACTTGTTCTTCTGAATGAGCAGTGATAAAACTAAGCACAAAGAGCCCCACTTAGGAAATTAAATTAGAACTGGGGTCACAGGCGGGAGTTCCCCACTGGCCTGGAGTCAGGTTTGTCTTCAGCCCAAGATGTGCAGCCTAGTGCCAACGTGGATGGGGTTGCCAGGGTCTCAGTGTTCTCACCTCATGGACTCATTTGAGCTTATGTTAACTGGAGAACATTTATGACATACTAAAGGGACATCACTCCAAAAGTACATGCACAGGGCAGGAAAACCATCAAAACCATCAAACCATCATGAGGTTCATCGTTCCAACCTCTCTCCTTTTTATTCTCATTTCCACTTCTACAAGTCCAGTGAAGGGTCTAAAATGCAAGTCAGATGAATCTTGAGGCCAGAGTATATGAGAGAGCATTTTATGAATTAACTTTGAGAAAAGTGACTCCAGGACCAGCTTAATGCATACACAAGATGACAGACAAAAATCTGTCTATAGGACAATCTTTGCTTTGGCCCAGCCCAGTTGATAAGAGAGAGATTGAACTGAAATTGTCAGGGAGAAGGCTACAATACATAGAACCACTGGGAACAAAGCCAATCACGAGAGAAATGGGGAAAGGAAAGCAAATGATGAGAAACTGGGCTGGTCCATTTAATATCTCTAAATCCTGCTTCCATGTAATAAGCACCTGCTAAGGTTTCCATTAAGATGAATGCCTTGAACTCACACCTCGAGATTCTCACTTACACGGCCTGGGGTGTGGTTTGAGCATCTGTAGTTTTAAAATGCTCCCATGTGATTCTAATATGTGGCTAAAGATGACAAGGACCCCTGGTCTACCGTGACCTCAGGTTACCAACATGGAAGTGTCACATACGTGTGGCTACACCACAGAAAAGGCTGAGTATCCATCAGTCTTTGATGGGATCTGTATTTCCCTCTCAATAGTACTGTTTGTATAGCATAGAAAAAATCAATAAGACGAACAAGCAAATTAATAGATTAGACTTTTAGCCTCTGCTTTGAGCCCACTTGCTCAGTTTTGAATAAAAGAAATAGTCATTATATTAACACCTAATGTATTGAAATAATACCTCCCATATTACATATAGTGGAATTTAGTATTTTTTTCTTTTTTCTTTTTTTTTTTTTTTTTGCATTTTAAAGGAAAATTTCCACTTTACATTTCCCCACACCCATTTTATAGCCCACTCATGGGCTCACCACTGCAATGTGAAAATTTTACTTTTCGTCAATTATTGTCCTTCTGCAAAATCGCCAAAGAGAACTCATCAGTCTCACTATCCTGAAGAGAATACAGTAACACAGCAAGACTGAAATTCTGCAAGAGACTGTGTATGAATACTTCTTCATACCTCTCTTCACACTGGCATAAAATATTAAAAACAAACCTTTCCCAAAATGTACTAGGGGAAAACAGTAAGTGAGAGGGGAGAACGTAGTAAAACAAAAACTAATCCATTTCACTTTGTACTTAGTTTTCTTGCTTTAGATATTGAGAATATTTCTAGAAATGCCTTAAGGTGGAACCAGATGTGAAATCAATTTCAGGGCATTAAGGAAAATATGTTGGGCCGTGGTTACAGTCCCCGCTCTCTCTTTGCTAACACCATTTTGAGTAGCTTTTTAAAAATTCCCGTTCTTTCCTGATCCCCTTTGGACAAATACTTATAATTATTATTATTATTATTTTTTTACCAGCCAAAGCAGCAGCAGTAACATCATATTTATTTGTAAAACCTTATTGCCATCCTAACCAAGGTGACCCAACCGCCTCTCATGACTGTTGAGACCTCCAGATTGGAGCCTTTCCTCAGATTGGAGCCTTTCCTCTCGCTTTCTCCAATCTTTATTGAAACGGCCTTAGTGGGTGGATTCTAATTCCTGGGCTGTCAATAGCAAGTCATGTGGCCTTAGTTCAATCTTACCCCTGTGGCATCACTACTCCTCTCTCGTAAAAGATGGACCTGGACGTGATGTTGTCTGAGGTTCCTGCTGCTTCTCCCATCCCATGGCCCTCCCATTCTGCCCTAGAAGACTAGGACATGGAGTTGTAAGGGGGTGGGGTTCTCTGCAAAGGGTCCTCTCCTCCTGCTCCCCTCTGTTTCTGGGCAGGCATGATGGATGCTGAGCACATCCTCACTGGAAGGAAAAGCCATCACTCTGCTCCAGACAGAGGGAACCAGAAGGAAAAGGGCTGATGTTCCCCACTGCTGGTTGTGCATAGGTGGGGTCCTTATATCCTGCACCCAAGGCTGACTGGAAGCTCAGGGAAGTTCAGGAGTGTTTTTTTCTCGCTTGTGGATGGTGCTTCCCCCTTCAGTAAACCCACTGCCCACCCTTCAGCTCATCCTCCTGGCAGGTGATCCTTTTGCCCCTGATATATCACTACTTAGCAATCCGTCCAGACTCAGCCATCAGGAGGACCTGACACAAATGCTCATTTGATTTTTTTCTCTCTCTCCCCTACAGATACCAAATACTGCTGGAAGGATGCAAAGGGTGAAAGGATGTCACAAAAAGTAGCTTTTCCACTTGATGAAAACAACTAAAACAGCAAAGCAAGTTCAAATCCAAACACAATACTGCAGGGGTCCTTCACTGAGGATTGAATTTTAGACACAGAATACTCTTGATGATTTCAACCCACTATGCTCCTTTGATTTGAGAAGCCACAGTCCATCCCTCTCCAATTGTGATCAATGCCTAGGGAGACCAATGCCCAGATGGACAAACAGCATTCACAGGCATTAGCCCTGTTCCTCTCAATTCCCATCGTGTAGAGAACAGGAGTCAGGAGCTGCTAGCAGGAGACGGCATGTCAGCCAGGACTCTGCCAGGGCAGAGTATGAACAATGCCATGTTCTTGCTGAAAACGCTTAGCCTGAGTTTCATAGGAGGTAACCCTCAGACAACTGCAGAATGTAGAACATTGAACAGGACAACTGACCTGTCTCCTTCAAACAGTCCCTGTCACCACCAAGAACACAACAAAAAGGAGAAGAGACATTTTGGGATCAAAAAGACTAAAAAGACTGTGTAGCTTGTGCTTTTTTAGTCATTTTGAACCCAAAACATCTCTTCCTCTTTTTGTTGTTGTCATTGATGGTGATCACATGGAATGTTTGTAGAGGACAGGTCAGCTGTCTGGCTCAATGGTCTACATTCTGAAGTTATCTGAAAATGTCCTCATGATTAAATTCAGCGTAAACATTTTGCCAGGAACACTGCAGAGTCCATGCTGTGAGCTTCCTACCTCAGTCCATCTGCAGGCAGAGAAGGCCCAGTGTGTCCATCCCCATTGTTGTGATACTAGGATGGTCACTTGGTAAAGGAGGCGTCTAGGAGCTCTGTCCCTTGTAAAGACATCTTGGCTATAATTAATTTGGAAAGTGGTTTGAAACAGTATCAATATCCTGTATTCTAACGGTCTTCCTCTGAGTATTTTATCATCGATTAATCATCCCTGCCTGTGTCAGTTATTATATTTATGTCTGTAGTTTGAAAATTTTCAATCTCAAAATCTTACTTTATACTTGCTTTTGCTGGCATTCTTCATAAGAAAAAATATTCCTTGCCCAAATTTTAACTTTCATCCAAAATTAATTTTAATTTCTTTTTGCTGGCATTCTGTTGTGATAAAGAAGATTCTCTGCCCCAATTTTAACTTGCATCCAAAATTAATTTTAGTCCATCGGTTAAAATGTTTAAGTTTTAAATCTCTTCAATTAAAACATTTTTTGCTTCTCACTCTGGACTATTGGATTTTTTATGGATAATGTTTTAAGCTTTATTATGATTGATTTTGGTGTATAAGAATTTAGATTAATTTAAAAAGTCTTATTTCTCTGTTTATATTCTAAACTCTTCCATGTTTTAGTCTATGTTTACTATACATGGTAGAATGTATTTACTGTATTTCTATGTTGATGTTTTCTTTTTGTGTTTGCGTGTGTGTGCTTTTTGTTTTATAGGAAGAGTTGGATAGCTCCCGTTTAACATTGTACTGAAAAGGTTTTTAATTGCCCAGTAGCAGGGTTCTGATGCACCAGGTCTCAGGCCTCATCTGTGTTTCTCCACACTCGCTTTCTTAGGAAGGCTTTACCTGTGTTTTGTCATTAACAGGACTTCGCTGCTGTGCTGGCCTCTGTTTGCCTGGTGTTTCCTCTCCCTCTGCTGTTATGTGGCTCCCAGACCTGGCTAAATAAAATCACTTGGGGTCCCCAGTGCTCCCTAGCCCTGGTTGGGGGCAGGATTATGGGTGGTATTTCTGACTCTGTGTTAATCCCCAGGGCTTTTACAACATCCTCATAATCACTGGCCAGCTTCAAGAATTATCATTGAATGGCTGAGCTTTACAAAATGCATTCCTTCCTACTTACCTAGGAAGTGTGTGTGTGTGTGTATATGTATATATTAATATATATATGTATATGTATATGGTATATGTGTGTGTGTGTGTGTGTGTGTGTGTGTGTTTGTGTGTGTGTGTGTATACAGACAGTTTGGACATGAGATTCTGGAGGCTGAAATTCCCAGGACAGAAAGGCAGATACCCGGGAAAGTATTTCCTTCTTATTAGGCCTTTTACTTCTCCTCTGGCCTTTGGTTGATTGGATGAGGCCCACTGACTTTATGGAGGGCAATCTGCTTCACATAGACTGCCTATTCCAGTGTTAATGTCATCCAGATCCCCCCTCCAGTACACACACAGAATAACATAGGAACAAATGTCCTGGCACCCTGGGGTTCGGTCACAGGGACACACACAATTAACCATCACACAAGTTCTTTGTCATATTAGTGATTCTCATATTTTTCTCCCAGTCTGTGGCATGTCTTTTTAATCTATGAAAAGTATCTTGTGCTGACCAAGAATTTTAAATTTGTATAAAGTTGAATTGATCAATGGTTTCTTTAATCATTTTGTTGATGTGGTAACTAAGAATACTTAGCCTAACTCCACATCATGAAGAGTTTCTCTTATGTTTTCTGGTGTAATTTCTCTAGTTTTGCAGTTTACATTTAGTTCTGTAATTAATTTTGATTTAATTGTGATGCCAGTATGGAGGTTTAAGTGGATTTTTTAAATCTTTATTTAGTTTTTTCCTTCAACTTTTATTTTAAATTGTGGGGTACATGTACAGGATGTGTAGGTTTTTTACATAGGTAAACATGTGCCATGTGGTTTGCTGCACAGATCATCTCATCACCTAGCTATTAACCACAACATCTATTAGCTACTCTTCCTGATGCTCTCCCTCCCCCCAACCCCCACCCCTCACTTCTGACAGGCCCCAGTGTGTGTTGTTTTCCCATGTGTCTATGTGTTCTCATCATTCAGCTACCACTTATAATTAAGACCAAGTGGCGCTTGGTTTTCTGTTCTTGCCTTAGTGTGCTGAGGATAATGGCTTCTAACTTCAACCATGTCCCTGCAAAAGACATGATCTCATTCCTTTTTATGGCTGCAGAGTATTCCATGGTGTATATATACCATCTTTTCTTTATTCAGTCTATCATTGATGGTCAATGAAAGTCATAAACCCCAAATATCCCAGAAACATAGTGTATCCTAAGGACAAGAAACATGAATAAAACTACACCAAGGAACACTGTACTCACATTAATCAAAACCAGTGATGAACAGAAAGAGGAATAAAAGGAGAAAAAGCACATTACATACAGAGGACTTTTATTCCTTAAGAGGAATAAAAGGAGAAAAAGCACATTACATACAGAGGACTAAATGAAATGATGACATTCTATTTCTTATCACAAATATTACAAAGTAGAAGTTTGCAATAGCTTTAAATACAGAAAAAAAACCACAAGCAATCAAAACTGAATATCTGAATAGACTTCTAAAACTAAAGAGATTGAATTAGCAATAAAAACAAAAAAAACAAAAACAAAAAAAACAAAAACCACATGCCAAGAAAAGCCTGGGCCCAGATGGGTTCACAGCTAAATCCTACCAAACATCTAAAGGAGAGTTGATATCACTTTTTCACAAACTCTTCCAAAATTAGAGGAGAGAACACTTCCCAACTTATTCTATGAGAGCAGTATTACTCCAACACTCCAAGACATCACAAGAAAACTACAAATGAATGTCATCTTTAAATACAGACATAAAATCCTCAAAAAATATTAGGAAACTGAATCCAGTAACATCTGCATAAATTATACATGATGACCAAGTGGGATTTATCCCAGGGATAGAAGGTTAATTTAACATCTGAAAACCAATTAATATAGTATCAGTAGAAAATAAACCAAAACTAATGTGATCATCTCAATAGACATGGGAAAGGCATATGACAAAATTCAGTATTCTTTTAACAAACAAGGAATAGAAGGGAACTTCCTCAACCTGATAGAGGACATCTGTCAGAAAGCTTCAGTTAACATCATGTTTAGTGGGACAGACTGAATGCTTTCACGTTTAGATTAGGAATAATACAATGATGTCCACTCTCAACACTTCTATTCAATGTTGTACTGGAGATAGTAGCCAGGACAATTAGGTAAGAGAATGAAATAAATTTTAAAAAAAGGTATCCAGATTGGAACAGAAGAAGTTAAACTACCTTTATTTCAGGATGATATGTTCTTATATGAAGAAAACCTCAAGGAGTATACTAAAATACTACTAGAATGAATAAGTTCATCAGGGTTACAGAAATTGAGATCAGTACTTAACAATAAATAGTATTTCAGATTTTCAGATTAGGGATACTCAACTTACACACTTAAATCTCTGGACAGTGAAATCATGAGTATTTTTTCCTCCGTGATCTCCTATATTTTCTATATGGTATATATGTGCCAGTTTCATAATCAGAAATGAAATTACTGAGATCATTTAAAAATAGCAAAGAAATCTGTATGATGGAGATAATTTTAAGGTTGCTGAAAAAAATCATTCTAATATAACCCAGTTAACTAATGTAGTTTCTTTGTTTCTAATATTAATTGCTTAGGCTGCATATAATCAGAATAAAACAAGTGTATTTCAATCTATTTTTAAAACTTAGTAATTTTATAAGAGTTGATTTTCTCAGTCACCACTGCTTTCATAAATAACCTTTGTTCTTCTAGGGGGAGCACGGTAATATTTCAATGCAAGCAAAGTATTGTTTACAATGCTGTTCATTGATTCATCCTGTCGGGTCACAAAAGGCTACCAGGAAGTTTGTGAAAGATGTTTGGTGGGTAGCAGGAAGTTGTGAGGTTTAACACATAAATTTGGCTAAATAAAATTCTGACGGGTGCACACAGTAGACAGAACTCCAGTTCATGCATGTGCAATCTGGATTACTGCAGCCCAGTCATCATTGGGTTGATAATGATTTAATCAACCAAATAGGTGACCCGGCTGGTGGCTCACACCTGTAATCCCAGCATGCTGGGGACCCGAGGCGGGCAGATCACTTGAGGACAGGAGTTCGAGACCAGCCTAGCCAACATGGTGAAACCCAGTCTCTACTAAAAATACACAAATTAACAGGGTGTGGTGACCCATACCTGTAACTCCCACTACTCAGGAGGCTGAGGCATGAGAATCCCTTGAGCCCAGGAGGCAGAGGTTGCAATGAGCCAAGATTGTGCTATCACACTCCAGCCTGGGCGACAGGGCAAGATTCTCTCAAAAAAATAATAATACAAATAGTTTTTTAGATTCAGTGACGCAAATGAAGAGCAATGGTCTTCATTTCTCTACGTTTATTTTTGGTAGCACTGTTATTGTTTTTAGACCAATATGCCTTTTTTAAAACAAAACAAAAAATGTTTTAGAGTGGGT